CTTGGGGGGGAGGGGGGGGGTCCCTTCATGGATTCTTACATCGGGGCCCTGAGGTCACTAGTTACACCTCTGCATGTCACTCAGGCCCTTATGCTGTGTGCTGCAACTGAGATTGTGAAGCCTGTCTGAAAACTACTTGAACAAGCTTCCTCTGTGCCTTGATGCTTTCAAAGACAGGATGGCTGAGCAACACCATAATTTGCATGGTGTCACTGGTAATAGCTGTCAGTTTGCAATGCTGACTGCTGGACAACCAGAGCGTAGACAGACAACGGTCAAACTTGGTGCTATGGATGTATCAAGGTCAGACATCCCAACCTGCAAAACCTTATTTCAGGGAGGTTCCCGTCTCATTTCAGGGAGGTGCCCTTTCTACACCCACTGATATCTTACCGGAAAGTTTTACTCAAGAGTAAAGCTTTCAGGGAGAAAATGCCTCTCTCGCGGACATCAGGGAGCTGCTGTCCAAAAGAGGGAGACTCCCTGAAAATCAGGGAGACTTGAGATCCCTGCAAGGTACATGTGTTATATGACTGTTTAATGTTCATAGATTAATTCTAGGGTAAACTTCCACTTTAACATGGCAATTCACCTACAAATGGACAATTTTGGGTCCCCATGAGGTGTTTTTCATAATGTGCTAGTATGTACAACATATTAGCACATTAGGGCAGACTTACCTTGCAGGCAACTCCCTCCGGTGCTGCAGTGTCAGCATGCTATTGCTGACACTCCCAACTTCTCCTGGTCTTTTGGGTTCGGCATCTTCGGCCTCTTGGTTGGCCAGCCTGGGATGATGGCACTCAGGCACAAGTGACTTTGTTGTGGTACAGAACTGTGCCAAGACTGTGCACTGAGCTGCGCATGTTTCTCCCTGTCTGTGAGTGTTTGCAGGGTGCACAGAGGCATTGGTTGCTAGGAGACAGAGTGAGATTTGATGGCCAGACAAACTGACCATATAGTTCGCCTGTTCAGCTAACTGCGAACAGCTTGGGTTTGGGTTGAGCTCATGCTCAACCTAAAGCAAAGCTCATCCCTAATTACTATGAGCACAAAAACTGCTGCTCCTAAACTCCCAACAAGATATTGCTTGTCTGGTAGACTTGCAGTGAGATGGGCCGATCCACTAGTCACACAGGAGTCGTAGGCTGCATATGAAATAGGCAAAAATGTACAGACAATTACACACTATACATAGTTTAATATAAAACACACACTCATAAGAGTTTTTACAGTAAGTTGGTTTCTTTCACATGTATATCTGATGGCAGTTCCCCTTTACAACGATATCAGTTCCTTTTTAATGCATTGTTCATGTGCTTTGTAAATCTGCCTCAATTATAGTTCCCCCTCCCACCAAAGTTTCCTTCGCAACATAACATATTTCACTTCTTTCCTTCTGCTTATTCAGGAATGGAGCCAAATGCAGTAGGCCTCAACACTAATAATATTTTCACTGTAGTGGAGGATTCTAGAAGTACCAGAATAGTTAAACAGCAGCTCATATGAAGCTTCACATGACATTTGTTTTGTTTTTGGTACACCTTGTCAGACATCCCAACTCTCCTGGACACTCCGGGAGTCTCCCACAGTTGCATAGCGGCTCCCGGCCGCCCGGTCGAGCAGAGTAAACCTTTCCCTGCTGGTTTTTTTCTGACATCGGGGCCGCCGAAAGTCAGAAAAAAATAAATAAATACAGCATAGGAATGCATAGCTAGTTTTGGATTTTTTGGGGGGGCAAATGCATCTCCCTGAAATAGCTTTTTTCAGGTTGGGATACCTGTCTTGTATTTGTAACATCATTTATTTGGCTGGAAATAGTTTGAACCTGCTGATCATGTTACCTTTCCAGCAGGGCTGTAGCTACCATGGGGCGAGTGAGGCACTCGCCTCAGGCGCAGCTGAGAGGGGGCGCAGCCAGGGCCGGCCTGAC